TTTTTTTCTGTCAGTTTATTACCCCAGCAATCATATGTGTGGCTAAGTCATTATAATGGGCTACAATCAGTTGCCTAGTTCCAGTTTCTTTAATTTAAACTATCCAACAAATCTCATTTAAACCTTATTTACTTATTGCAATTCTTTACAATTTATGGCTTAATACAGTTTTATGGCGGTTTCTTGTATACTTCTTCTGCTTGATTTTCTAACCGGATACTGGCATGTTTTTGATAGGAAATACTTGAGTTCGCAAGCAAACCTATCACTAATTGGTGAAAACAGCGAGAATAATGCAAAATCTGGGCGAAATCAGCCCCAAAATGTTGGATTGCAATGAGAGAATCAAAGCCAAACAAATACGAGAACAAGATACAAGTGATCCTCAATTCGAGAGGAGGATAGTTCTCTCCCAAATCTCTAAGCAAAACAATCTAGAGCCAAAATACCCAAGAACTCCAAGAGAAACTCAAATCATGCATACAAACTAACCCTAAAACAAACCGTCATATTAATACAATTAATTTCCTAATTCAATCATCTCTCATTCAAATTTTCCCTCTCAAACTAGCCTCTCAAAACCCCCTCTCCCCATTTCTCTAAGTGGGCGGCAGCATTAAAGGAGGCGGACCCCCCTTTCCGCCTCCTATATACATGAGCCGGCTCCTGGGCCGGTTCAGGGTGAACCGGCCTATCAATTTTCTTATCTGTCATCTTACTATGTTCGAATTATGCATCTTATACTTCAGGCCTGCTGATAATGTTTTTGCAAATTTTACAAATACCTGTATTTCTGAAACTTCTTTTTTGTTGAAAAAACCTGTCAATTGCTTTTCATTTGTTTGGCTTTAGATTTTAAATTGGTAAGTTCTAATGCAGACATTATCGGCATGGAACAATAGGCTTCGCACATGGGGCTACGATCCATTGTTTTGCAGCGTAGAAAGCAAATCTGGACTGACTTTTCTTGAAGATATCCTAAAAGGAAGAACAACAGTTGTTGTTGGGCCAAGTGGAGTTGGCAAGTCCAGCCTCATCAATTCTTTGAGAAGTGACCAAAATACTGAGGAAACTAGTGATATTTATGTAAGAAACTGCACCTACTATCTCTTAAACATTCATTTTCTTTCTATTTGTATCTCTTTTTTAGTAAATTTTGACTGTCTGAAAAATATTATCCAGCATTAAGCCATTAGGATAATGAAGGCAAATTATCATTTCTTCTATCTTTTAAATCTACAAACACACTTGTTCAATTATATAGAAACATTGAGATGAAAACTTCTTTCTTATCGAATTGGGATTTTTTGGGTATATGGACTTATTATGCATTTAACACGTCCATTTTAGAGTGAAGGTGTTAAGTGGCTTGGAGACCAAAGAGTTGCTGAAGTGTCGAAGAGAAGCGGCCGGGGAAGGCACACAACTCGGCATGTTTCCTTACTTCCACTCACAGGAGGAGGTTATCTTGCAGATACTCCTGGCTTCAACCAGCCTAGCCTTTTGAAAGTAACTAAAAAGACACTTGCTGAAACTTTTCCAGAGGTTTGTCTTTGTTATTAACCTGCTATTATAGGCTTTTATGCTTCTTATTTTTTCCCAGGGTTGTTTGGGATAGTGATAGTTGTTTATAAAGTAGTTGTAAAATTATTATCTGAAAACTAAATTTTTTTAAAATGATTGTGGGTATTATAGATTTTTTCCTCTTTGAAAAAATTAATAATTTAAAGGTATCGCACTCTAGCAAATATGATCCTATAAAGTTGTTTATTATCACAAAATTTTTAGAAGCAGCAAAAAATATAACTGTAGCAACTGCCTGGAAAGCAAAGTTGTGCAAAAGTCATCCCAAATAGACTCTTAGGTTTCGTTTGAGACAATTTTCTTATTGTTTTCTAAAGTAATTTTCTAGCATACAAATTTTTGTACTAAAAAAAGCAATAAGAAAATTGTCCCAAATGAAGCCTTTATTGTTTTCAAAAGTAACTTTTATATAAATTCTTAATTCAAGAAATTTTTGTACTAAAAAGCTGATTTAAGAAGCAATAAGAAAGCAGTCTCAAATGAAGCTTTAGACTTCGTTTGGGACGGCTTTCTTACTGCTTCTTAAAGTAGCATTTTAGTACATAAATTAAAATTTTTGTACTAAAATGCTGCTTTAAGCGGTAGTAAGTAAATCGTCCCAAACAAAGCCTTAGTCTATAGTGCTTTGAATTGCTGCTGTAGTGAGTAGTTTCTCCTTGCCAATTATCTTCTTCTTTGCTGTTTTAGATCAGGCAGATGCTGAGCGCTAGTAAACCTACAAGTTGTTCTTTCAGTGATTGCTTGCATGTTGGTGAACCAGGATGTGTCCTGAAAGGAGATTGGGAAAGATATCCATACTACCTTCAATTACTAGATGAAATCAAGATCAGAGAACAAATCCAGCTCCGGACATTTGGAACGAAGAGGGAAGGTGATGTCAGGTATTGTGGCAGAGAACATAGCTATTTCATAATTTTTTTTTTGTGCTGGATCCAATGTACTTCATAGCTAATTTGATTTATCCGTAAATGCATAAATTTCACTCTATTCCTCATCCAAACAAGTATTTAAAACTAATTTCAATTCGATTTTTTTATCTTTCTTAATTCCATTTCCTCTCTTTCAATTTCTTCAAAGCATATTAGTGACTGAAAGGCTAAAATCTTGATATAGTGAAACACCTTGTTTCCTGCTGCATTTGTTTTCCATTTAGAATGTTGAAATGTTCTGAAAGTTCTTACTAGCTGGGCACAGTAATAAACTCGCATATCTGATAACAATCAGCAAAGTGAGCTTCCATTGCAAAACTTCCTATATTTCTAACTTTTTAATCTTAATAGTTGATTTCACTTTCTTTTAATGTTTGATTTTTGAAGCAGCTGCTATGGAAATGAAAGTATGATGACTCTAAGGCCTCATTTTTCCTTTTTTTTTTGTTTAGAAACGAAGAAATTATTTTTGGTCCCTGTTTGAAAGAGACGCTTCTATAGAAATGTTTTTTTAGAGAATTTCATTTTTATACTGTTTTGAGAAGCTTTTGATATTTGCTTCTATGTTAGAAAACTCTATTCTCTTAACCATTGTTTCTAAAACTATCTTTTACGAAAGGAGAGTAAGAATTAAACGAAGCCTAAATCTCTTTGGCAGGTACAAGATGGGTGAGATGGGCATCATACAACCTGAACCTCGACTCGAGCCTAAGAAACACCGGCGGGTATCAAGGAAGCGTCTCAATCAGTCAATACTAGATGAACTTGAGGAGCTTGATGAGGAATGTGATGAAATAACAAGGTGAGATTGGCATAAGAGTTGATGGCTGTCCTCACTTTTGTAATTTCCTTGTTGAAGTGTTTTTCTGTATCTCAATGTACAGTCATAAGCATTCCTCAACTTTGGAGAAATGGCAGTTTTCCTATTAATATTGTTCAAACTTAACTGAGATTGGAACATCATGATGCCTTATTTTATAAAAAAGTATGGCAAAAAGGTAATCAATCTAGAAGTGTCAATATTTGACATGACCTAAAAACCCGACCCGAACCCGACACGGAAATTTCAGGTTCGGGTTAGGGTTTCGACCCATTTCAAAAATAGGTTCGAGTTCGGGTTTAGGGTTTACCTGAAAACCCGGGAATAACCTGGATTAACCCATTGACTGCTGTCCATGTTGCCGCAGCTAATCGCAACTGCCCGAGGCCAATCACAGGTCGCGACTCGCGCGTCATCTCCTCGTCGGCCTGCCCATCGTGTTGCGCCGTTGACCCGCCTGCCCCCCGTGTCGCATCCCAATATACGAAGCTATCGGCCCGTCGTTGTCGCGCCGCTGATACCAACCCGATGTTGTCGTGTCTGCGGGTCGGGTCGGTTCGTGTTGATCCGAATAGTATCGGGTCAGTTAAGGGTTCGATCCGAATCCGACCCGTGACCCAAAATTGACACCCCTAAATCAATCTATATACATAATAGTAAGGCATAATGGGTGAAGGTTTTTCATTATTAAAGCCATTAAGATAGGATTTCATCTCAAATAGGAGCTCTCTCAAAATTTTAAAACCTACAGAAGAATGGTGCTAGAAAGTAAATTTAAATGAAAATGAAAGTTCAAGTATATCTTCCATTCTTATTTGTTCATCTTTGCCTATGATTCAATGAAGCTCCCCCCAATACTGTGGAGAAACCCTTTCATCAACAAACTCGTTGATACAATTAATTAATGATTATCATATAAAATCATATTTATCAAATTTAATAGAAACTTTTGGAGCAAATGAAATTGGTAAAATAAATGACAAATAATTGAAAAGTATTTGATGATATAAAAACCATAAATTATTTTCCTTAAATAAATAGTAATTTAATTAGCCAATTAATCCTAAAAGCACAAAATGAACATATTTAGAAATTTTAATTAAATGATTAAAAATTGTAAGATCACATGAATTTGCTAAACATATTAGTGATACAAAAGCATTATCTTGAGCATTTTAAGCACGTGAACATCAATTATAAAATAATAAATATAACTTCAAATGATAATTAATTTTTAATAAAATAATAATTTTGCACCTAAGGGTGTAAACTATTCCAAATATAGGTATTTCGGAAATTTTGATATTTAGTTGGATGAAAAAGAATTCAATATTAAATAAATGTAGCGCTAATCATTGTAATTCATTTTTTAGATAAATCAAATTCACAGTTTTGATCGAGAACAGTTTACATCACAAGCAAACTCACTTGATTATCACCAACCGCTAATGACCGCCTCCTGGCCTCCACCCACCTCCAACCACCACCACCAGCTATTTAGCACCACCCTCGCCTGGCCACCACCATTCCACTTTCTCCAAAATTTTAAATAAAAGAGGAACTTCTTGTCAAATAGAGATGTTAAATATTTTTATAAGAATTTTTCTTTTAATGAAAAGAAATCATTTTTCGTTTAGTTCTCGTTAAAGAAAATTGCATTCATCAAAGGTATATAATATCAATTTTAATTTACATTATTTTTAATTATAACATCTTTTATTTAATATGTTTAGTAATTTGATAATTGTTTTCGTTTCAGAAATTATTAAGAAGCATAAATCAATTATAATTTTATTTGCCTTTTCATATATAAAATAATAATGATTTTTTTCGTTAAATCCTTTTTAACATATTATTTTAATTTAAAAATAAGGTTGTTTGCCATATCTTAAAATCTATAGTTAATTTATGTACAATATATAACTACTAAACATAAATAGTTAATCTAAACGAATTGCTTTCACTAAATTTAAAAAATAATAAAAATATTTAAATTAATTTCTATTATTCTTGACATTAAAAAGATGATATAAAATAAACAATTTGATAATTAAATGAGAAACCCTAATGTAAGATAATCCCTGACTGATAAAATAAACAAAGATATCAAAGTCCACGTAACTGAAAAGGGTAAAAGTGCAAAACATTTTTCACAGCAAACAAAATTGTTTGTTCTGCAGATAACAAAGAGAAATAGATGCACTAACAAGAAATAAGAAGGATCGAAATCTTCGAATGCAATTCCACAATTTCAGGCAGGAGTTGCAGGTGCAGATCAAGAGGATGCGCCGCTGCGCAACACCTGACCACCTTTCTTTGGCTTTCTCGCTGCAATCTGGGTCTCCGGCTGCCACAACCATGATCATATTTATATCAAAGGAGTGTTGAATAAAATAACTGGAGCAATTAACTAAACATAAACATATTATAGGTGCAAGTGAGTTGAACTGGCTCCAGCTCAAGCTCAAACTCAGGTTGAGCTTATCTAACCATCAATTTGAGCTCTGAGTCTTTACTCAAGCCTGTATATGAAACAAGCTCGACCTTAGCTCAATATGGATCGGCTCGTAAGCTTATTGAGCCACTCAATAAACTTAAACTACATTTCAAAATTAAGTTAAATTAACAATTATATAATATATTTTAACATTTTTAAATCATTTTTCTATAAAATAAAATAAAATTCTAAAAAAGCTGAATTTTTTATTTAAAACGAAGTATTTGAGCCAAGCTTAAGTTTTTCAAACTAGCTCGAGCAATCAAGCCAAGCAGAATATTAATTTTTAAGCGAGCGGAGCTTGATCTTGAGCTCAGCATATTAGACCGATACTCAACTAGACTCATTTACACTCCTAACACCGACTCATTTACACTTTCTTGACTGTAGGAAAATTACCTCTTTCTTGACTGGTTCTTCCTTCTCAGACAAGATCAGTTCAATGTGGCAGGGAGATGACATATAAGCTGCAACATTAAAACACAAAAAGCTAATTTACATATACCAAGACCAGGAAGCCAAAACAAACACCAAACAGGGGGCAGAACATACGGTTGATTCGACCGTGAGCGCGGTAAGTTCTTCGTCGCTGCTTTTGTGCTTGGTTCACCTGAATGTGAGAAATATAGAGAGCATCCACATCCAGGCCTTTCACATCAGCATTGCTCTCAGCATTTTTAAGCAAATCCAGTATGAACCTGGCAGATTTTACTGGCCAGCGACCCTGTCCATTTGAATGGCGGGATTTGGCTTGTGCAGTACGGCCTACACCGCCACAATACCTGCGGAATGGTATTGCCTGCTTGTGAGCAATCACATCCTCCAGATACCGCTTAGCTTTGGCTAGAGGCAGTTTTCGGAGAGCGTGGGCGGTTTCCCTGGTATTCTGTAGCAGGAGATCAATTAGTGCTGAAACCCTTTATCAAGAAGATATGCAAATATCAAATGAGAAAAATATAGTAAGTGGCAGGAGAAATATCAATAATGACAAGACGATTCTTAATTTATTAAAAATTAAGAACATGATATTGGTCTTATGATAAAAAACTACATCAAGAATTTGCATCACTGTTTACTGAATCCTGGGAACAAAGATTCACTCCATAATATGGAAGTAGCTTCCCTAAAGTTTATGGAGCTACTTTTCTGTGCGGACACCGGACGGTTCTATTATTCTGTGCGGACACGCATAGAATAAAAATTCAAGATTATGAGAGGTCATAATAGAGACACCATACTCATGCTTTTCAAGTTAGGTAAAGTAAATCTGGCCAAATAGAAATAAATAGTCATTTTTTACAATGGAATTGCTCTGTCAGCTTCATATAAACCTAATTTATTTCTATAATATCATTTAAAGTACAAGCGTTAAGAAGCCATTTAGAAGCACAAATAAAAACAAATCATTCAGTTTTGCAATGAGGGTCAGCAAAATAATTGGCATGGAATATGGAATAGATCTGCACCATTTGATTTAGTTTATAGATAAATAAATTCATCAAAAAGTTTAAATATTATGTTAATCTTATGATAAAACAAGGCCAAAAATGTGTATCATTGTTTACTGAACCATATGCCATTGATAATTAGCAATGGTTCACCCAATAACGATGAAATTTATTTCCCTAAAGTATACGAGAGTACAGGTCATAAAGACACCAGAACCCTGCTTTTCTCTTTAGGCTGCGTAAAACTAGCCAGATATAAATCAATACATAATAATTTTTCATAATATAACTACTCGATCAGTTTTATAAAAAAAAACATTATTAATAATATAATTTAAAAGCATACACAAAGATAGGCCACTGAGAAGCACGAATAAAAGAATCATTTACAGAATCATATGCCGTTGATTATTAGCAATGGTTCACACAAAAACAATGCAACTAGTTTCCTCAAAGTTTAAGAGAGGCCAAGTCTAATTATTGTTTTTTAAACCAGCTTCTTAGTAGAAAAATAAAAATTAGTGTGCTAAAAAGCTGCTTTAAGAAACAAAAATAAAGCTGTCCCAAACAAAGTCCAAGTAATACTAACCAGATAGAAATCAAAATAAAGTAATTTTTCATAATGACTACTCAACTAGCTTCATAGAAACTGAATTTGCTTTTACAATACAACGTACAAATATAAATAATGATAGATCATTGAGAAGCGCAGATATAAACAACTTGATCATTGTTTAGAATGTTCATCAACATAGAATTTGGAGTAGGCAAGCATAACACATCCTATGAATGATTTGGTTTATACTTCAGTAAAAATCATAAAAATTTAAAAATATTACATTAATCTTATGAAAAAAATAAACAATGCCAAGAATGTGTATCATTATTTACTGAACCATATGCCATTGATTATGAGCAATGGTTCACCCAATAATATTGAAATTAGTTTCCCTAAAGTTTACGAGAGGCCAGGGCACAGAAACACCAGACCCCTGCTTTTCTCTTTAGGTTGAGCAATGTAGCCAGATAGAAATCAATGCATAAATAATTTTTCATAGTGATGCTAATCAACCTGCTTCATAGAAACCAAATATTTCTTAAAATACAATATAAAAAGTGTAAACAAAGATAAACAATTAAGAAGCACAAATAAAAACAATTCGATTAATCTACTCATAGTCAGTAAAATGATCAGCATAGAAATTGAAGTAGATGAATGTAATACACCATAGGAATGATTTGCCTTATACATCAATAATTCATCAAAAAATTTAAAAAAATGATGTTGATCTTCTGATAAAAAAGTACACCAAGATATGCATCATTGTTTATTGAATTATATGCCATTAATAAATAGCAATGGTTAATCCAACAACAATTAAATTAGTTTCACTAGAAGTTTACGAGAGTCAAGATCACAACGCACCAGACTCCTGCTTTCTGTTTAGACTACGTAAATCTGTTCTGATATAAATCAATACAATAATTTCATATAAATTTAATTTATTTTTCTATTCTGAAGTAAAAGAGTTAGCAATGACAACATTGAGAAGAACAAATAACATCCATTTAATCACTATTTGGAATCAGATTTGGAGTTAATAAATATGATACACCAAGAATAATTCGTTTTATATTTCAATAAAATTTATCTAAAATATGATCATGGTATTATCATAAATAGTTATGTAAAGAATGTATATCTTTGTTTAAAAATAACAACAACAACATCAAGCCTTTGTCCCACTACGTGGGGTTGGCTACATGAATCCTTTTTCACCATTGTGTCATATTAAAAGTCAAATTCTCATTTAAATCTAATAAAGAAAGATCATTTCTAATATTTTCTAACCAAGTCTTTTTAGGTCTACCTCTACCTTTCTTAACATAAGTCAAATATAATACCTCAACTTTCCTAACCGGGTCATCGGAAGGCCTCCATTTATGTGACTAAATCATTGAAGGCGACTCTCTCTAATCTTATCTTCCACTGGAGCTACTCCAACCTTTTCACATATATGCTCATTTCATATCATATCCCTAAGGGTAAAGCCACTCATCCACCTAAGCATCCTCATCTCTACAACACTTAACTTAGTATTATGCTTCTCTTTTAATGGCCAACATTCAACACCATAAAACATTGCAGGTCTCACCACCATCCTATAGAATTTTCCCTTAAATTTGAGGGATAATTTTTCGATTGCACAACAAGCTCGATGCATTCCTCCACTTCAACCATCCAACTTGAATTCTACTTATAATATCCCCATCATGATGTATCTTTGTTCGTTGAACCATAAACAATTGATTAAAAGAAATGGTCCAGCCAATATGGAAATCAATATTCATTTCAAAAGAAAATGGAACCCCCAAACTTCATAGAAACCCAATTTGTTTGCACATCTAATGTAAAAGTATTAGCACGGCCACAACATTGAGAAGAACAAAAATAATGCACTTAATCATGCTTTAGAATGATAATCAGGACAAAACCAATTTGCAAATGATCCCACTTCAAGAGTCAAATGACTCCAATTGTTTAGACTAAAGTCATTAAACCAAACAAGTTTGTATTAAAATGATCGGCATATAATTTAGAGTAGATAAAAACATTATACCATATGAATAATTTGGTTTACACTTCAATAATTCATGAAAAGTTAAAAATGTGATGTCGAATTAATGATGAAAAAACTTACACCAAGAATGCATCACTATTTGAACTATATGCCATTGATTATTAGCAACGTTTCACCCAATAACAATAAAATTAGCTTTTTAAATTCACAAGAGGCTAAGCCACAGAGACACAAGACCCCTGCTTTTCTTTCAGGCTAAATAAAGCTAACCAGATAGAACTCAACATATAGCAATTTTTCATAATGAAACTGAATTTGCTTTTACAATATAACGTACAAGTATAAATAATGATAGATCATTGAGAAGCACAGATATAAACAACTTGATCATTGTTTAGAATGTTGACCAACATAGAATTTGGAGTAGGCAAGCATAACACATCATATGAATGATTTGGTTTATACTTCAGTAAAAATCATAAAAAATTAAAAATATTGCATTAATCTCATGAAAAAGACAATGCCAAGAATGTGTATCATTATTTACTGAACCATATGCCATCGATTATTAGCAATGGTTCACCCAATAATATTGAAATTAGTTTCCCTAAAGTTTACGAGAGGCCAGGCCATAGAAACACCAGACCCCTGCTTTTCTCTTTAGGCTGAGTAATGTAGCCAGATAGAAATCAATGCATAAATAATTTTTCATAGTGATGCTAATCAACCTGCTTCATAAAAACCAAATATTTTTTAAAATACAATTTAAAAAGCGTAAACAAAGATAAACCATTAAGAAGCACAAATAAAAACAATTCGATTAATCTAATCATAGTCAGTAAAATAATCTGCATATAAATTGAAGTAGATGAATGTAATACGCCATAGGAATGATTTGCCTTATACTTCAATAATTCATCAAAATATTAAAAAAAATAATGTTGATCTTCTGATAAAAAAGTAAACCAAGATATAAATCATTGTTTATTGAGTTATATGCCATTAATATTAATTTATTTTTATATTCTGAAGTAAAAGAGTTAGCAATGAATAGCATCTCTCACGCCATGAATAGCCTCTCTCACTCCCTCTCTAATTATTTATTTTCTCTCTAAATTTTACACCCAACCAAAAAAGAATAAAAAACTTCTACTACATTTAATTTGCATCCAACCAAAAATTTCTGGGCAATAAAAATACAATGCATTTATTTTTATATTACATTTTCAAAAATGATTGCAACCAAACATTCACTAAAAGAGGCCAAATTGCAAGGACAGGAGACTCCTTAATTTCCTCTTTAGGAATCCAATTAAATGGAACACAATACATAATCATTTCATAAAAAAAGGACCTTCCAATTTCCCATTGATTTTCACAAGCCAATGTAAAATAATTGATGGTGATGAACATTGAAAAGAAATATACTGCTACTAAAGAAAATTGAACACAATGCCCAAAGCACGAAGTGGCACGCTCTATGCTATTAGTGACGCAAGGTGCACGAGTGCAATACATAACATGCTATATCCAATGGCGAACATGAAAAGCACCAATTTTTCCTTCATTAATATTTTCAAAGAATCAAGACGCAATGATGGTCTTTTAAGCATGTGTGATGGTTTTGTGTTTTCCATGAAACACAATGGAGTCTCTTCTTTACTTTGAGGTCTTTTCAAAATTTCTTACTTTCACTTTATTCAATTTTTTAAGGGAGCTTTTTTTAAGAGAGAGGCAACATCCCTTCCTACCAAGTACTTTTAGGTTTGGTTTTCAAAACATCTCTACTGTCACCTTGTAAAATTGAAGGCATGCAGCATTTTTTGTCTTCCTTCTACTAGAACCACATTCCCTTTTTCTTCTATATGTATTTAAAATAGTTTTTTAAAAATGATTTATCCGTTTGTTTGATTTCTATTGTTAGTCCTGTGCTTGCAGAATGATTGAAAAAACTAACTACCAAGGAAAGTGTTTCACGGAAGCTTAGGTGGTTTAGTTTGCCTTCATTTCTTTTGTAACTCAATTAAGGCTTCTAATTTTAAGGAATGAAGTGATGCCATAACATTCAATGAAATTTGAAGCTACTCTCAAATGAGTTTTAATCTGAGAAAATAACTTTCACGAAAATGAATGCTTCAAATAACTTTTCTTTCAAATCATTCTTCTTTTTTTCACATGATGAAAATGATCATTGCATTCTTTTCTATCAATTCCAAAAACATGGATTTCTCGCAGTGAACCTTATTTTTTTCCTTCATCTGCTTATTTCAGCTAACAAATTTAACAATGCTATCCCCTAGCATTATACTATCTCTCAGATAGGATACTTATCAAAAGTATGACTAGTACCCAGGACACAAAATCCTGAGCTAGTTCAACTTTCTGGATCACATTTCAGCGCAATGAATCAACGTAAAATCAAGGTAATTTACCCAAAAAAATACCCTCTTTCATAAAAAAAACAACCCCTGCAGTCTAAAATATAGAATTAAAAAATCGAAACACCGCAAAATCACTAAAGAAAATAGATTGGTTATACAAATATTTCTAAACGCACCTTGAAATGAACCCTGAGGTCCCGCCCCATCGCCTTCGTAGCTGCAAAAAAGAACCTCAAATCAGGTCACATCGTTCCACGAATAAAGAAAACAACCGAAGAGAACGATGCATAGATCCACAATTCACAACCAATGATAGAGATAAATGCTTACACTTGGTAGGGTTGGACGGTTCTCTCGAGTACTTCACCTGCTCGATAAAATAAAAAAGATTGGACGAATAGTTAGCAAAAATTGGCCGGTAAAGGGAAGGATGAAACGAGAGAAGCGAATTCAACCATGATGGCTGGCTGTATATATCTCCGTCGAGCGGAAGGATGGGCGCCGCAGCCTACTCTTTTCTTCCTCTCCACTGGCGGACGGGGCCATATATTCTTGAATCATTCTTATCATATTTTGAATTGTTTTCCCTCCCAATTAGCCAAGGATTTGATCCCCACCGTGGTCGTCAGACACCTGTGGACCTCCGAAAGAGCACCGCTCATGGGGTACGAACGCAGAGGGTACGACCGCACTATTCCGTAGGACAAAAAGATTATAGGCCTCTACACTCAACACGAACAGGTCGACGGAAGGGCAGATTGGATCGTGCATACGACTAACCATTGAGGATAGAGGCTGTCGCCAACACACCTCGATGAGTAGTAATATACACGACCTAGTCAAGGGTTTTCCCCCATCCGATACAACAGTTCGAATGGGGTTTAGTAGATGTGGGACCGAGTTTCCCACGGGCGCAAGCCCCTGTGGTTAATTACATCCCAGGCCGAAGCCTGAGAAAACTCTCGATTAAGGATCATACATCATCCTTCCCAAAAGTGGGATTGGCACAGGGGTGTAAACTAGGAAGTCATATCCAAAAGGAAGAAAGGTCTGAATGGCTGAATCAACATGCGTGGATCATATCAGCATTCAGAGGTTCTAAGGCACTAAAGAGAAACTGGAGAAAAAAAAATCAGGCAAATAAATTACATGCGTGAGAGAATGATGAAGGTGGCGTCATCATGTGACACAGATAACTAGGATTTATAGTCTCTGAAAGGAAGGGACCTACATACTATTTAAGGCATACTACGAGACCGAGTGTAGTAGCCTCGAACCCTAAATCTAGGTTGGTCTTAGTGTTGCTTGTAGGGAATAAAAATACAATCAAAACGAGGTACTGTGCATAAAAAACAGAGCAAAAATGAATTTTTGGTGGAAGAAATTTGGTTTAAAAATGAATTTAAAATCAATTTTTAAATTAAAAAAATGCGGCGGGACCCTCGGATCGCCACGTGGCACCGCGGGCGAGGCTCAACCGTCTTTGCAATCTTGCCAATGATTGCACGGCAGCGCAATCATTGGCAATGATTGCGCCGAAGTCCGTGCAGGTCTTAATCCACGTCGGCAAAGAACGGACATCGTCCGATCCGACGCTGTATGGAACGGACGTCCCAGATCTAGCCGGACGGATGGTGGAACCGTAAGATCTGGTCCCGCGGTCACTCCAGACCACGGATCAACGGGATCATGACCGTTGATCAAGAAATCAACGGTCCAGATCCCGTCTACCTGAGCTTAGGGCGAACCCGAGGACCGAAACAATATTTCGTCTCGTACGCTCGATTGGATGGATGGAATTGCATGAAATTTTAGATCTCGACTCTACACATGAAGAGCATTGACGGGGGATATTTTTCCAGATTTAATATGCAGCGTATTGAAAGCTATTTAGATGTAAGTGTTCTAGCTAGGGTTTAAGATATACCTCAATCCACATGGTGGATTCAGACGATCTTGGGCTTGTTGAACTCGTGGACTCTCCAGGAACAATTTCCCTCTTGACTTTGAGCTCTGAAACGGCTTCGATCAACGGGACGAAGCCTTCTAAAGAATTTTATCTCGGGTTCGCCAGGATCTCGCCGCCGGCGACTTGGCCTCGTCGGGTTTGAGTGGGAAAAGGTTAGAGATGACTCCATGAACTCTCACACGAAAGAATTCGAGTTGGGAGCTCGTGGATTCAGAGAATAATGTCAAAAGTCCTAAATTAGACTAAATTTCTCCTATTTAAACCTCATAACCCTATTTTTTACGGCTTGGATTTAATGAGAGGGTCATTAGGAGGGAAACTAGGCTTAGGAGGCCGTGGTTTGAATTTCAAAATGTTTTTTGAGCTTTAATCGCCATTAAATGGCTCTTAAATAGGATTAAATAATTAGATTTGATAAAATAAATGCCCTGGTTGACCAAGTCAAAGGCTGACCTGGTCAACCCAGTCAAAGGGGTCAAGGGAGAGTGAGGATCAAGCCATGGAAGGGTTTCAATGAGTTTGAATTTGATTTGAGGCCTAAAGGGGCTAAATAGTCAACCCTTGTTGACTTGGTCAATTGTGTTGACCCAGGGCCCAAGACTAGGTCCAATAGGCACCCACTAAGCCCCTAAGTCTAGTGGGGGAGAGAAATGAGCCCGGGGAGCTTTGAATTGGATTTGAAATTGAATGGAAGGGTTTAGGTCCATTTGGGTCAACCCTGGTTAACCTGGTCAACCAGGTTGACCCAGGACCTAGGTTCGTGCTCAACAGACTCAATTCAACACACTGAACCTATTGGAGAGGGTCTTGGGGTCTGAATTGGTCAATTTGACCAAGTCAACCCTTTGACCAAGAGTCTGGGCAAAATCAAAGTCAACATCATATACACATATCAATCTATCGTATATCATATATAAATCATATCATGTTATTTATGCAATCTATCATATATACTCCTATCATATGCATTCCAAGTAATAAAATAAATATAAACAAGATATGACACATGAATGCCTGTGGTGTTTTACTGTATCCAGTAGTGTGGTCCAACTCTACAGGGAATCAATTTTAATTATATCAGTCTTATTTTAAGGAATAAGTCATGTTACAAGTCATTTAGATCAAAATGCTTTTGTATCATAAATTGTCACTTCCTACCCTGTCTATATATCATATCATACAAATATTTCTCTTTAGACCTCCCCTTAGTATATCATTTAAGATTACACAACAAATCTTATTTTAAAAGAAAGTCTATCTATCCACCATCTTTTATGGGAAGATGTCTCCAATCAGTTAATCATTTGTTGTCAGCCTTTCTCATATACACATGTTTCACAACATATATAATATAATAAACAGGTGATATTATGCTCAATGTTCAGCTCATTGCATCAATCTAATGCATATAAAATGCACATATGAATCATGACTAAATAACATTCATAAAAAAAAAAACAGTATACTCATTTTTACATGTTTATGATCATAACTAACAAATTATAGTAAGTATATATGTCATACATTAATATTATGAGATTTCGATAATTATTCATCTAATTTTTTTATTTATTTAAATTTCTCAAATTAGAGAATTTCCGCAAAATATAAAAATAATGAGTAAAATTTAATATATTTCTATCAATATGTGCGGAATAATTAAAATTATGACATACTAAAAGTTACAAGGTAAAAATTTATTAAAAATTAAGGCATCATAACTTTTGTAAATTTTGATCAAATTTAAAATAAGAAAATACAAAATAAGCATGATCAATGAAATCATAGCTAAGGTAACGATAGCCTACCATGAGATGAGCAAATTTTTTTAATGGGTTGTCCAGCATAAGTGGTTCTAAGACATCTAAATCTAGCTTTTCTTTCCTCTCTCCTCCCTTTTTCTTCTCTATTTTCCTATTTTATTCTTTGCTAAATGAAATGAGAAATAAGAATGGCTTATGTAAAGTTCTCTTAATAGAAATTGATGCTTATAATAAAATAATCAAAGAATATAAATATAATTATACAATTGTTTAATTTTTGACATAAAAAGTTTTATAAATTTTTTATATATTCAAATTTAGGAAAAAAATATAAAAAATATTTATAAAATAGCTCAACGTCTCTAGAACGCTTTGGTATAATTGGTTTGCAAAACAAACACCTAAAGATCCCATAAAATTCACTTGTAACGAAATATCAATTTCTTAAGAAATTATAAATAAATAAGAAACTTGTTATTTTCATATTTACACCACTCATAAAATTAGGAAAAAAATTATTATAATTGAAGCACAACAATATCTATATTATGATGATGATGATGATGATTTATAAATTAGATTTATAATGAATCCCAAAATATTATTTTATTATTGAATATGAGCTATTTTAGTAAGTATTTGAGATGAATCACTGATTGAGTAAGTGAGGCCTCTAATGTAGAGCATGTGTAGGCAAACATCTTTTGCTTATCAGGTGAGTGACTCCTTATGCTAGTGCCCTTCAGGTGGAGGCGACTGGCCTCTTTAAGCTAGAGCAAATGCTTTTTTATTGGCATTAGAAGGAATCACAAGGGAGAATTGCTGAAGGCTTTGAGTGCAAGAAGTTTATGATGAAGAATGTTGCAATAAGACCAATTTAGCAAGAAGACTACTCGAGAAGATACCTATAAGAGAAAATTTCAAGCTATTAATTTTTTTAAAGATATTTAATATAATGAAATGGGTTATTACATACATGACCCCTAAAACTATTTTGTTTACTTACCAAACACCTAAACATTACTATTTACTTATCTACCACCTAAATATGATTCTTTTATCTAAATTACCACTCTGTTACTATCGTCAAAACCCCTATTAGCTCGACCCCTTGCAACTTCTTTGCTCAGGCAGGTTTGCTTTTCGTCTTCTCCATTTCTTCGTTGCTATCAGGTGAAGTGCTTCATAAATACTTACTCTGAGTTTTTTCGCCTCTTTAACGTCCTAGAATCAAAATTGGAAGAATTATCTATTTTATCTTCTTAATTAATTAATTAGAGCTTTTATAAATCATCAAAACAATAAATCTATATCGAGTGAAAGTAATTAATAATTTTATATCTCAAAACATTATACTTTATGCATTCTTTCAAAATCAATATACAATAGTCAATATATCAATGCAATTACTATTTTTGAGAAAATCTTAATTATAAAACAGAAAAAAATACAAACAAAATCAAGAGAAAATCTGATGATCTCTATTACTCTTACTTCAACTGTTCGTGATCCCTTACTTGACATGAAATCATAAAAATTCACATAATGAGCATAAAAGCCCAGTAAGTAACCAAAACTCTATCATTATTTTTAATGTAAGACAAAATAATCAATATAAATGTTCTAATTCTAGTCAATATGAATCACTAGTTAATACGAGTAATAAAAAATCTCTAAATTCAATAATAAAATTAATATGATTAGTAAATTCAAAAGAGATATATCAAACTATAAGAATAATCAATAAAGAGGACTATCACCCAATAAGTCACGCTAGTATGATATGCTATGTTGTATCAATATTAATGTC